CCAACAATAATAAAAAGAAGAATAAATAAAAAACTGCCTTTTACGTCACACGTGTGATACACTACATAACTGCATATGACCTAATCTACAGGGTTTACATAGTTTAGAAAATGCGTGGGTTATTAAATAAAATATAAAAACAACTGTGGTTTCTTGTGCCTGTGGTTTTTTTTTTTTGTTTGTTTTTTGTGCAAAATAGCGAAATAAAAGCAGCAATGCTAATGTGTTAAATTATACACCATTGTTTTAATGAAATGCACCTGCAAGACGATTGAGAATAACTTTCTTCTTGGCAAAACAGCTCAAGAAAATGTGTTTGACAACCGAGAGGTGTTGTACACTGAGAAATTCGTTCGGACACTTATACATAGTATTTGGTTGTATCCGTTGTCAATTTCGAATTTTTTAATATATTTGTGCTCAGTTGGCGACTTGACTGCAAATTCAGGTTATTACGAGAAAATTTACAAACTTTGGTTGGCTCAGGCTTCAATGCATAAAATGTCTGCTGCACCATATCAACAGTTCATCATATCAACAGGTTGTTCAGTGAATTACCTACCCACTACAAGATGTTGGTAAATAAGATGCAACAAATAAAGTGACAAAATTCTGGAGAAGGTAGGCTAGGATAAAATGGGATAAATAGGAAAGAGTTTTTCAACAAAAACAAATAAGAAGTGAAAAATTTTAGTCCTAATTCAGTAAAGATTAGATTAATGCTAATCGAAGTGCTAGATTAGCAGAAATGTGCTTACCCATGCACAAGGTCATTAAATTATTGCATGCATCATTTCCAGGTCACGGTGAGCTTAAAACACTATAAGTATATATATTCCTGGCAATAATCTACTCACAGTGTCAATTCAGAATCGGCAGTAGGTCAATGGTATTTACCAAAAACAAGCTTGATTTGGTGAAAAGAAACTTTTAAATTTTGAAGTTGTGTAATACTTGTACATTGAATTGACCTACAGTGTAAAAGGGGGAAAAAAATATTGTGCACCGTGCATTTACCACAAATGGTGATCCCCGGTTACGGCAGATTCTTACTGCTGTGCCCAAGAATTGAGGCAGCTGAAAATAGTAAGCCTGCAACAGTGAAATGCAAACGCAGAAGGCGGAGCAGTTTTCTGAAGCTCATTTTTGTGATGCAGCACATTTTCGATCAATCTTGAAACGTTACACGGTGTCAACTTTGTTACAGAAAAAAGTCGACGAGGGTGATGGGTCAGGCCTCTGGCATACCCTGCAACTGTTTGGCATTGATTGCCTTTCTGAGACTTAACACGTGATTAAAATCTGAAATATCTGTTGTGACAGTACAAGAAAGGTCTCGGCATCATTTGACTCCGAAATCTTTCTGCTATTACCAATGCCGATAAATGGTAGATTTAAATGGCTGGACAAAGTATCGACACCGAATATGCATTCGCCATTGATTTACCTGGCCTACATGGCTACAAAAGCCAAATTAATCGGTTATAAGTGAAGCAGTGAGATAGTTAAGACATAAATGTTAACAACATAGAAAGCTGAGAGAGTTATAGATCTAGTGGTTACAACAAAACACATTGTTCAGAATGAACATGGCTGAAATTAAGTGACGAGAAGTTCCTGAACAAGAAACGTTGCGGCCATGGACTCGTCTTCATCATTGTGAGTACAAGTTATCTTTATTAAGGCAAGGTCTCTTGTTAATACATTGGCCCCAGCGACATCCCTTCAATGCAGTGAGTAAAGTACAGAGAGCAGTATTTGTCATGAATCTTTGAATCCCTTGTATTTCATTTACGAAGAGCCAAAGCTGCCGTTAAGCATCTTAAAAGCAGGATGAGTACAAAAGAGAAAGAGACAGGTTTATTTAGAAAAAGGCAGAGCGAAAACCTGCTCTAGCCTGTTACTCTACACTGGAGAAGGGGAAAGGGAAGAGAAAGAGTAATGGATGATGATGGTGAGATAGAGAGGCAAGTTTATAGAATCTTTTCCAGCTGAAAAAAATGTTATAGCCGCGCATATAGTCCAGTTGCTTTTAAAAGGACTATAACCACTCTTATGACCACAGTCGCACTGTTGGTGTCAGGCCAAGGGCCCAACACGGTCTCATCAGTTAATGACTTACTGCGAAATCGTTCAGTAGAAGAAATCAGTGTTTTTCGTTCACGTGCATATGCTGGGCAATCGCAAAATATGTGCTCAAGTGTTTTTGGCACATCACAGTGTTCAAAATTGGGACCGGTGTCACTGTGACCAATGATATGTGTGTAACGTCTCGTGCACACCACACCAAGACAAATGCAGTTGATCGTACTTGCGATGTGCCACTTCAACTTAGGCGGTGTACGAAACCTCCTTTCCGGGTTCTATTTGTGAAGTCGCCGTTCCAGCTTGGTCCAGTTCTGAAGTGTGTAGCTGCGCATTAGGCAGCGGAGCAGGGCGTTTGTGTCAGCTTGTGAAAATACAATGCGTACCTCAGGAGCACTGTTGAGGGCATTTTTAGCTTTAGTGTCTGCCTCTTCGTTTCCCATCAAGCCGCTGTGTGCGGGAATCCACTGAAAAGTGATAAGATGACCATTTGTTGAAGCAACCTGAATAAGTTCTGCAATTTCTATAGCGAAGATGTAATGCGGACCTTGCCTCATGACGCAATTAATGGTTTGCAAAGCAAGTTTCACATCACAGAAAATCATCCAGGCTCGAGGTTACTCTCTAGAAATAATTCTTATTGTCTCCCTGATAGCGACAAGCTCTGCGGCAGTTGATGTGGTTTTATGCTCTACCTTGAATCATCAAGCGATATCCATGTCTAGGATGACAAAGGTTGCGGCAAAGGTGTCTAGAGTGGAGGACCCATCGGTGTACATGTGCAGGAAATCACCATACGCTGTACGAATGTGATGTAGGGTTAGTTGTCTGAGTCCCACAGGAGAAACGAGGGACTCCTTCGTATTCCCAGAAATCGTAAAACTAACACGTGGTTTAGGCAGGACCCATGGAGGCACTACAGAAACACTCGGTGGGGAAAACCTTGATTGTAGAATATTCTCATGCGGCTATGTCACTCTTGAGAAACTGCAGTCTGAGTGAGTGGCGGGTAGCGCTGATAGTGGGTGCTGCCTGTGTCAGCTCAACTATCGAAGGTGAACTCCAAGTGGCTCGCAAAGCATGTATACACCGATGGGACAAGCCCGAGCCTCCTCAATAGTTCCGCTGAAGTACAGTGCGGTAGACCCAAGCGTCTTGGCAAGCCTTGAGCTTGAACACACTCTAGCATCTTCACACAACTAGGTCTCATATTGGAGAGCACCGGCATGCTGTATCGTAGGTATCCCACCAATAGAGCTTTGTACAATTAAAGTAGCGATGATTCTGATGGGCCCAATTTTGCTCCTGCCACGTTGTGAAGAACGAGAACAAAGCTCTTCAATTTAGATTTAAGTACTGGGACGTGTCTCGTCCATGATAGATCTTTGTCTATGACAACCCAAAAAAACTTGTGGTGCGTTACAGTAGGTATCGCTGTCCCATTAATAAATATCGGGTATTGTGACATATGCTTGTGCGTGAACGCAAGCACTGTGCATTTGTCTATTGAAAGAGTGAGCCCCTAACGTCGTAGATATTTGGCTGTGATTGTCACTCCATGCTGTAGTCGTGCACACAGACGAGTAGTTCCAGATGCCCATATGCTTGTCATTAGCCTATGTACTGATCTTCACCGTGCAGGGAAGTTCTGCTGCTAGGCCGATCATTTTGACATTGAATGGAATCGGGCTGAGAACTCTCCTTAGGGCACACTACGATGAACTTAGTATCGATCGGCGTCTCCGTTACTTGCCGTCATGTGAATGGTGCGGTCACTAAGGTAACTAACGATCCAAGCATACAGTCGTCCACTGGTCCATGCCAATATCTTCCAATGCTTCAAAGATCACATGACGCAGCACATTATCGTAGGCACCCTTAAGGTCTAGGAAGACTGCTGCCACTAGTCTGCATCAGCTTCCTTCCTCTTCAGTGCTCCCGATCAAGTCGACCACACTGTCGGTGACAGATCAGCCTCTCCTAAAGGCGTTCATGCATGCAGGAAAGGAGTTGTTGCTCTCTAGAAGCCGCTCTAATCTTAAAGTTTGCAGTAGAGCAACAGGAACAACTCTAGAATATGCCTGCACCACTTTAGTTGGTACAAGGTGCAATAATTTGCTGTCATATACCAAACAGGATTTCATCAATTCTTACTTCTTGTCACCATGGTGCTTTGCAGCTTGAAGCACATTCTGTTGAACTTCTTTTTTTGAAAGTAAAACGTAACGTTCTTAGATGTGTGTAACCCTCAAGAACACTTAATGTTTGTTCTCTGTTTGATAGAATATGAGAAAAACAAAAAAGATCTATTCCTGGAATTTACAGCATAAAAAAAATGTGTCTATGCCGGTTACTCCAGCCACCAAAAACCGAAGAGCAAGTTAGAAGTTTGCTTGCAACCTAAATGTGATGTTCTTCGGAAAATTTTGGCCGCTGCAAGCCCTAATCAATGCTAAAGCGAAATGTCACATTGTTCCAAAAGCAAACAACTAAACCCGCACTCGACCACTGCACGTGTACGTAATAACTCTGCGTGTAAACTGGTTCCACTGGCGTAACGTGTGTCTGCACCAAATGGGCTGTTGATCTGCACACGATTCATACGTTATTCGTTACGTCAGTCTGACGTTATCATTTACTGGATAAAAAAATATTTATTGCGCTAGAGGGCGCTACCAACGTACCAAATTTCATGGTGTTGCTGCTTATCAATAAATGCTCCCAAGAAATAGCAGCTTTGGCAAGCGATAAAGCGCGGCTGCTCGTTTTTGAGAACATGGACACTGACTCCCGTAACTGGGACACAACGATAAGCACAATAGAGAAAAAAAATTATAAAATTTGCTCATTTGCGCGTTCTTTTTACGGAGCACATAGCGATACACGTTCTCACAATAATAAGGTAGCGAAGGAACATTTTATCTCGTAAACGGGCGCAAACGTTTGGCATTGGGTTAATTTTCTTCTCACGAACAGATGTCGCAGTAAAGAAGAGAAAAAAGCCGATAGCGACGTCACGTTTGTGACGTGGCTTTTTTCTTGGAGTTCACCATTTCACCTCCGCCATATTTTGTCGCCCGTGCTGCCGGTATGTGTGGTTGGATCTTTTTCATTGCCCATTTCAGGTGTTTTGTTAGCCTGTTTTAAGGCGTTGTACCGTCTAATAGCTCGGGTAAAGTTGTCGACGTGCATTTTGTCGTTCAGTCAAGTTGTATGCCGTTTCCCATTCGGTGAATTTTACGCTGAACATCGCAGTAGTCTGCAGAACATGCCCTTTTTTTTCTTACCGCCATTGTATGGGATAACTCGAGCTTAATTTGTGTGATTGCGCGTGTTTAAGCTGATGTTTGAGGCTCTGTGGTTGCCGGTGGCGTTTCAGAGTGCTTTATTTGCGAAATTCTAACGCGAAATCGTGCATTCCGGCCGAGCTAGTTTCGCGTCACTGGGCCCTGCCTTCCTCCGGACTCGCGGTCGGCTACTCGGTTCCGTTCCCCCTGTGTTTGGTAGTTTTGAAAACTGGTAGTTTATCCACTTATAAGAGCGTGCGGTTGTACAGGCATATGAGTTTTTGAATTCACTCCTCGCAGTATCTACTGGCATTGTGCTGTTCTGAACCGGACTTCGCGAGTCGGGGGCCCGTTTTTGACGTGACACCGCGGCGTGAAAGAACTTAAGCCTTCTCTCGTTAGAAGTGTGCATTTGTGGGGCGTCGGTGATGCGATTGTTTCGCCGTCTCGCTCACTCCCCGTGTCAGGTTGTGCGTTCGCCCGAAAGAAAAAAAAAATGCCACCCTGTCGAGTCTTTGACAGCACGCAGGGTCTGGCACATATCTGTTCGCCACTATCCGTGTGTTCGAATTCTTTTATTTTCTCTTGCAGGTGGTAGCGCCAGAGCTTGGAACGACCTAACGCACCGGCTAGAAGAGACAAAAAAATGGGGAACATATTCGCGAACTTGTTCAAAGGCCTTTTCGGCAAAAAAGAGATGAGGATCCTCATGGTCGGTCTGGACGCAGCCGGAAAGACGACCATCCTGTACAAACTGAAGCTGGGCGAAATCGTCACCACCATTCCCACCATCGGTGAGTAATAAAAGCGCGTTGCGCAGCTTCTTCGCATGCCCGCCCCGCCGGTCGGGTTTATCACGTCGGCCCAGATTTTTTCTTGCCTTCCTTTTGTTTTCTGCCTGCTTTACTGATTCCTTGGGCGTACTCGGAAGGGCACCTGTGCTGGCAGCGCTGCGCAACAGCTGCTTCGCATTCGAACACTGTTCGCCGATGGCGTTGATTTGTCGTGCTCCGATTTCACTCGGAAGACTCGGGCCCGTTTCTCATTGGGCTGAGGAAAGTGGGTTGGACGAAAAGTTTTACGTCGACTCTTCGTGGGCGGATCGGCCCCGTGACATTCACCGCCTCTGGGGTTTGGCGCATTGTTCTGGTTATTACAGATGTAGTAACTCGAATACAGCCTGTGTATGTCGACGAGATTCATTTCGTGTTTTAGAGCAACCCGGTGCGTTGCTTATCTGATGCAACCGTGACTCCTAATGGTGCATACCTTTCGACTTCCTGTCGTCTGTTCTTTGACGCTACCGCGGCATTGTTTTCGACCATGAGCATAGGAAGTTCTTAAACGTTTACCCTTGAGGTAGTCCTCTTCTCAATTTCAAAGCACCATACCCATGGCACTGTGATTCGACCATGCATTCTACTGAAAAGTGGATAATCAGCTGGCAAATGACTGTAGGCAAGACATTATTGGCTTACTTTGAGGAGCAAAGCTAAACTAAATTTGGTTAACAACATTGCTCAGTAGCGATACTTGTGTGTTTGGCCTTTCTTCATTGATTCGTTAGGTTTGTTACATAAGTATGGGGGTTGTCATCGCTAAATTGAAAGCATGTGGAAATAATACCTTAAGAGTGCACGCTTTTGTCAATCCTAAATATTCCACCCACTGCCCAAGCAGGGTGTTGTGAAACTGATGTTGTGATACATGGAAACTTGGGCAAGTTGGTACGACAAAACTGAATATACAAACAGTGCAACCTAGAAGCAATTACAGCGTAACTACGGAAGCAATAAGCGAGGATAGAGTAGGCAGCTGCTTGCTCCATGCGTGTTCTTGGGACTTTCGCGATTGGCTGTGACATGACTCACCTCCTTTGTCTTTTACGACGTATAAAACCTTTTCAAGTCAAGTTTATTAAATGGTTCAGTTGAGTTGCATGGTTAGCGTTATTACAGCAGGAGGTCCCAAAGTTTCAGAGAAACTGACAGGGGGACCTGCTATGGCTACATGGATGGGGTAATTACAAAAAATACAGCAATAGTATTCGGACTTGTGAGTAATAAGCTCCTCTGCTTACCGAGACACTGTTTGTTTATCTGTGTTTGCTTAGAACCTCTTTTTTCTGTGTTTATCTATGTTTGCTTAGAACCTCTTAGACCTAAACAGGGCAGTTCTCAGCATTTTGCCAGTGTCAAATGTTTGCTCGAGCGTTATTACAGCAGGAGGTCCCAAAGTTTCAGAGAAACTGACAGGGGGACCTGCTATGGCTACATGGATGGGGTAATTACAAAAAATACAGCAATAGTATTCGGACTTGTGAGTAATAAGCTCCTCTGCTTACCGAGACACTGTTTGTTTATCTGTGTTTGCTTAGAACCTCTTAGACCTAAACAGGGCAGTTCTCAGCATTTTGCCAGTGTCAAATGTTTGCTCGAGTCACAGGGGGCTTGTAACAAGGGATGCTGCCTTGTGGTGTGCCAAAGGCTGCCTCAGGTAGGGTCATCCCTAGCAGGCCCATCACTGGCATGAATTCATATTTTAATAAACATTATGGCTCCCCCTGGGCAGTAATCTTAATATTCTCTTTAATAACGATCTCAGTACTGCCAGTGCACACACGGCACCCCTTACTGACAACCCTGGCTTGAGCTGGGGTGAGCACGTGCTGAAATAGAGCGCCTTGAACGCGTTGCAAAGTGGCAACACAATACTCCCACCCCCCACCCTTTAGTGACACGCACCAACCACTGACGAAGTGACCCGCTGTGGACGTCTGGTCCAATGGGCAAAAGCAGTTAGGTTGAAAGCTTGGTTACTTGCATAGTTTAACGCAGTACTTCTGAACATTTTATGGGATTGGGGGTTTGTTGCATCATAACTGCGTGATACTCTTAGGATTTCAAAATTATATCTGACTGTATAGGCATCAATTTTTGTGCTGTAATTGAATGTTTCCACTGATGCATAACATATAAAAATAGGCTTTTCAAGTCTAGTTTGATTTGTGCTCTTGATGTCTGGTATGAAGCAGTTTGTTTAGCATGGATTCAAATCGAATGTCTGTTATTAACTGACAATCTGTAGTCAAGGCTGTGGAGAGCATGTGAGCCTTACACAATACAGCACAAGGCCTGGAATTTGCAAATAGTTTTCGCCTTGAAATTGTTCGATCTTTTCTCGACAAATGATGCCATAACCAAAATTGGCAGTTTCATAAGAACAGTCCGTAGCCGTTGGCTGACATGAGCATCACGAGCCACGTAGTTGCCACGGTGTGCTGAGACATGCTTGCACCACAGTGCTAAGGTTACCCAGAGAATTGCTGTGTTTTGGGTATTGTACTGACGCACGTTTTGGGAAAATGGGAGAATAATGTGCTCAAGGCCATGATGTGCGCCGACTGACGGATGTAGCTTGTTGCGCCCATGTCATCGCCTCCTTGCGTAGCTTTCAGCATGCTCACTGGTACAAAAGGAGAGGCGTGTGACAAATAGGCTTGCGACAAATTTCTGCAACTTCGCTCATACCTAACACCTTCAATGAAGTAATTTGGTAATCACCTGGAAAGGTGTTGCAGGGTTTTTTAAAGAAGTAACTTATTTAATATTTAAATTTTGACGATGTTTTTTTTTTTTCGGACTTTATTGTAATTTGTTGCTCGCTTGTCTCTTTTTTTTTCTATTCTCTTCCTCAGGTTTCAACGTGGAGACAGTAGAATACAAAAACATCAGTTTCACAGTGTGGGACGTCGGTGGCCAAGACAAGATTCGTCCACTTTGGCGCCACTACTTCCAGAACACACAGGGTATGTTGCTGCTGCTGCTGCATGTTCTCGCACATGTTGGTGTGTTGGGACATTCTTCAGAGCTGCCAAATTCAGTAGACTCCCTTTAAGACGAATTCGAAGGGACCAGTATAATTTGTTCGTCTTATCAGGGGCAAGTGTGCCCATATATGTTGCTTGAAAACACTGGAGTATACTTACAATGGGCAGGAAAAGAACAAGAAAAAGCATTTATTTGGCTCAGCTTGATAAAAGCTATGCTTTCAAGTAGAGTATTTGAAATACACCAATCTAACGAGTACTCGATTCTACAAATTCATAATAAATATGCTCATAAATAAGTTGCTATAACATTTTAACAATGAAAATATAGCATGGCTATGTTTTCATGATTAGAAGATTAAAAGGGAGGGACAAGCTCAAGTCAACTGTGACTTTTTTTACTTGTTTTTTTTTTTTTACTTTGCTTTCTCTTGTTCGCCTGAATGCCCCCATCAAGGCTAATGTTTGTTGCGCAGAATTCCCGTCATTGTCTGTTGCCGTAAGAGTTCGTCTTAACAGAAAACTCGTGTTACACAGTTCGTCTTTAAGCAGATTTTATTTGCATTGAGTCCATGGGAATGCAAACAAACATTCCAGATTTCGTCTTAACGGAGTACTTAAGGGAGTTCACTGTATACCCACCATAGTTGCTTGGCGGCTCTGGCATTGCACCTCTAAGCACGAGTCTGATATCTGGTCACATTGGTGGTGGTAACATTTCAGTGTAAGCAAAATGAAAAACAAAAAGTCGACTTAGGGTGCATGTTCATTAACTGCAAATTATTTAACCATGCCTCGTTGTCATATCATGCTTTTGAAGTGTAGAACCTCAAGACTTAACTTGAAAGGGTTCGTTATTGTTACAATTGCTACGGTGGAGCCACTGTATTTATAGTTGGTGCATAAGGCATTGGAACGAAGGGACAATGATAGACTTTGCCAAACTTGTCACTTTTGAGGTCACATGCATATTCACTTGTCTGATGGCGCTATATGTACCGTATTTACTCACGTAACCCTCGAACTCGCATAATTCTCGCACCCCCCACATCGCCCAAGAAAAAATACGATTTTTTTTTTCCTCGAGTAATTATCGCACCCCCGAAAACTGCCGCAATAATGTCGTCTGCTCGTTCCAGCCATTGATGATGATAGCGTGCACCATCTGGCGCCATCTCTTAAGCATCAAGCGTACTATTGCACGGAGATCCAAGCCAAGCCGAAATAGCCAGTGCGCGTTGCGACGTGTTTTGTGTGTTGTGTCGGTAATCTTGGCATGTTTTGTGTGTTGTGTCGGTAATCTTGGCATGTTATGGGGCGATACTGAAGCCACAAGTTGCAAGTGATAGATCATGCGCTAAACAACTGCAACAGGGCCGCCGGTAGGCCCTTCGGAGCCTACGAGTTTTGTGTTCGCTACTGGTGACAGCAGCTGAAAGCCACCAAGACGCGTTAGGTCTGCCGTGTGCCTAAAACTGGGATTGATGGTAAACTTTATTTCTTCAGAAGGGAACTGCAGACGATTCTGTTAAATATTCATCAGCCCAATACTGATGTCCTACGCTTACTTTTTGAGGGCTCCTGTTGAGCGCCGACCGCTACCGCAACGCCCACAAGCTTCGTGTATGGTATTCTAATTCTCGACTATTTGCTTCCACTTTTTGTGTCTCAAATAAATCTTGCCTTGTGTTGAACCTCTGCTTTTATTGTTGAGGTAAATTCTAATTAGTACTTCTTAAAGCTTGCTGTAAGGTGCTTTTGTGAGAATTCCGATTTGCGGCCACTTCGTTTTCTTTTTCGCTCTCTGCGTTTTCATAGAAAGTTTTCCCCACGTAATTCTCGCACCCCCCAACTTTTTGCATCGGTTTTCTGGCAAAAAAAAAAGTGCGAGGATTATGCGAGTCAATACGGTAACTGCACACCCTTCTTCCCATGGGTAATACTTTATCTGCAGCTATGGACTCTTGAACTATGCTACGAACGCATAAGCTTCTTTGGAAAGTAGAATCTCTGCTTGGTTTACATACTACACACCTCTGCATTCAATGTGGTGTTCTAGTTCATGCGGGTCCTTGAAATTTTTTGAAAACCCTCGAATTTGAAGAGTTCGTTTTCAAGGCCTTGAAAGTGCTGGAATTTTTGTGAAACCTTGAATTTTCTTTTTCTTTTATAAACATAGTTGCACATTGCACAGCGCATTATTTGTGATGCTGTAGATGGAGCAGGTGGCATACATGTGCCCATCGCAAAACAATTGAAAATACCAGTAGCTTTTGTGCGGAACCAACACGTTTGTTTCTGGAAACTCTGATAAGGCAGAGTAGTAGAATGATAAACGGGAAAAGAAATGTTGCATTGAGGAGGTCGTAATGCTTACAAAAAAGAGACTGGTCTGCTGTTAACAGCAGACTCATATGCAGAGAAGGCAAAGACAGTTAGCGACCTGACGTGCATCAAGTCCTGCAGCCTTGGGAAGACCGCCAAGATCAAACCGCAGGAAATAGGGGATATTGATATGAAAATTCTGAAAAACCAACAAAGCATTGCATATCTGTTCCTTAGTTTTTCTATCTGAAATGAAGTGTGCGACTTGTGTCATACTAACCAACAAAGCATTGCATAAATGTTCCTCAGTTTTTCCTATCTGAATAAAAATGTGGAAATTGTCATACTGAAAGTGATTACCCTTGCAACTTTAATGCAATTGATTAAAAGTTGTCTAGAAAGAAAATGTCATTGGAGCCACGTTTTTGTCTGCTTCAGTGATGTCACCCCTTTTTTTTTTTGATGAATTAGTAATTCGAGCTTTTATCCTCCCCTGGACACGAGTCTAACTGGCAATGTGGTCCTTCAAAATTCACTCACATAGCTGCAAAAGTCCTTAAAAACCCCTCAATTTTTGTCATGCAAACGAGCATGAACTGTGTTGTTAACTCCTATTTATAGGGGCTGTATTCAAGTGAGATATCTCTGGAAACTTTAAAAACCTTTTATTAAATATGGCTCACTGGGTTTCATATAACCCATCACGCTATTCTCTTAGCCAGCTTTCTTTGTTGGCGTGAAGGTGGTTTTTAAAAAATTGTGCCCAGACATTCTCCTTGTTTTATATAAAAAAGAAATGGGGGGGGGGTGTCTTCACTGTCAGTAGTTCAAGCAAGAAAAGTTTTTCTTGTATCGCATAGCAGAGGTAATTATACTGCGTATGCTCTGTGTAGATACACCCTTGTCACTCAGGCACTTGAGAAAGTCTTTTGCGCAAGAAGACTTCCTTTGGAAAAAGTTTCATCTACACACACATGACAGAGCGATCTTTTTTCAAAAGCAGTATTTTCTGGGAATTGAGTATGTCGATCCGTGCCACAGCGATAAAAGAATAGCCTCTAAACCAGTGGTTGCCAACAATTGTTACAGTAAAAACAAAAAGGCAAGTGTTTATTCTCACCTAGGCTCGTTATAAAAATAAATTTAATGTGTAGTGGAAAATGTAGTAAGCCCCTCAAAGCTTATTTCGGTGTGCATTCTCGTAACAAGGTCAAATGGCTGAAATACATGGTGACACTTTTGGCTGCGCGCATGGGTGGAAGCGCGGCGGCGTAACATGTATACGCAATGCTGGTGGCTGAACTAAGACTGAGCAGCCCTAGACGCACACGAAAAATGGCTATAGTGATTATATGAGGGCATTTAATATATTGATATGCGTAATTTTGTTTTGACTGGTTCGGTTTGGAAAGCTAGCGCCATGCTTTTGGTTGAGCGTTGTTTTGGAAAAAAACTTTCTAAAGAGACCGTCAGTGCTGTGTGTCTGCGAGGCAGCCCATATTCATTAAGCCTCAGCTTTGCAAAAGACTGCTTACATAAGAGTTTTCGCATACTGTTGATACAAGGGTAATCTTGAAAATGGATCCTGTACTGTTAGCAGGGACTATTCTGGCACAAGAACCTGATAACTTTGTTATACCTTGGAGGCAAGGTTTGTTTAAAAGAGCCAGCAGAGAACTTCGAGGTCCAAAAATTGTACTGAAGAGAAAGGTGCGCAATTTTCTCTCCACGCCTTTCCGCCATAAGAAGGGAGAAGTCGTCACGACTCCACCCACTTCGGCAATGTGACACGGCGTGAGCCTTAATGTCATTAGTGCCCAGCTAACGACAGAGTAGGGCTTTCCACTCATCAGCACGTGTCGTAGCAGTGCAGGGAGAAAGTGCGTTGCGAGAAGCACCCTTCCCATAGTGGTAAAGCGGTGAGACAGTGGCTTTTGTTCTGTCAATACTGCTTCTCCTCATAGTCGGGGGCTCGACAATGTAGCACAGGGCAGCACAGGAAAATCTATGTGCGCTGCGCAGTCAAAATTGCGTCGCCACTCTGCCAAAGTTTCCTTTCGTAAGGCAGACCAATCGACGAGCTCAATGATTCGCCAGGCTGCTCAAGGGCAAGTCTGCGTCACTGTGCGTACAAGGGTGATAAGTCGGGTGCGAGAATTGTTTTTTAAAATGATGTGCACTGCGCAGTCAAAATTGCGTCGCCACTCTGCCAAAGTTTCCTTTCGTAAGGCAGACCAATCGACGAGCTCAATGGTTCGCCAGGCTTCTCAAGGGCAAGTCTGCGTCACTGTGCGTACAAGGGTGATAAGTCAGGTGCGAGAATTGTTTTTTTAAAATGGAGGGTCTGTGTGGCATGCAGTGCTATCTTTGGGAAATTTGATCACCGTAGTCTACTGTACTAAAGGAGCTTGTCGGTTAAAGGGTGAGGGGATGTAAAAAAGTGAATGTATTTACTGGCCCTTTAATTTTCAGTGCACTCTGTGAAGTCCTTGCGACTCTTTGCTGTAGTATTTTTCAGTGACAGTTTGGTCTCTCTCACCACCGGATGTTCAGCCCTAAGTATGTTTGGATAAATCTTGATATTAGTTTGCATATGTTGATTAGAAACTATTAGTCTGAAAAACGGATTTCGACAAAATGGTCTAAAAACAATT